AACGACCACGGTGGATGGAAGTGGGGGGACAGACCGGTTTTATGAACCCACGCTCTGCGGAGCCTCTGCGGTCTATGAATATTATATAGGACAAGGACTCACTCCACTGACGAGAATCTATAAATATAGACAGCTTTTGAAAGAAACGATGTATAACAGAAAAAGGGAGAGAGAAAAAACATGGTGGGGGTTTAGTGGGAAAAGCTGACGTCATGTTGCATCCCTTTTGTAAGCGTTAAGTGGGGCAATGAGGCATTGCTTTTCTTAGAAGACTTCATTAATCTTTCACACTCCTTGCAATCTGCTGCAGGGCCTAAAGTAAGGAAATTACCATTATCTGAGGGTTCTTGTTATTTTAGTTACAATCTTGGTGATTTTGGGGTGATTTTCTTTGTGTTTTTTTTTTTTCTCCTGAATTAACACATTGGATTTGATTTATTTGTCACTATCGCATTTGCTTTTACATTACACATGCACAAAGCTGAGATTAAGATAAAGACAGTCACTCGGTCTCCCTCCTTTTAGGGTCTCAAAATGTCGTTTTTTTGGATGCTCAAAATCCCTGTGTCGGTGGGAGGGCTCGGCTGACGGCCTTGTTTCCATGACAACAGCAGCTGCAGATTTTTTTTTTCGACTGTCGACTCTATATTCAGTGTGTCTGAGCAGGGTGGGGGGAGGAAAGGAATGGTGGGGTGGGGTGCGGGTGCTCGTTCGCCTGGCAGATGGAGTTCTTTTATTCCTTGCTTGCGTTTTCTCACTGAATGACTTCAGTGCCTTCTCACAAAGCAAAGAGAAGCCGCAAATCTTTATCCAGAAACGCCAAACCCATCCGGTTTTGTGAGCAAATTAGTGTATGAAAAAGCCAGTTCTTTTGAGGAATGCATTAGAGAGCTATCTGACAGTGATGAGGAAGATGTTTTTGATGCGTGCATGGTTTGGAAGAACCAACCTGGCGGGTATGAAGGACATTACTGGTTAGCTGTCCTTTTACCAGATAATTGTCTGCAGTGTTTTTAAGAGGAAATAACCTTTCCCTGATGGAATGACCAGTGGCACTGTGTAATGGCAGCTGAATAGACCATCTGCCCTGCTAGTGTGCAGCGATGCTTCTGTTAGTGTGGGGCATTTACAATCCACGTGGTCTGGGCTCTGATCAATGACCTTGTTTATGCTGGTTAACAGGCAGCTCTGATTGAACCGCCTAAAAGGGGCCATTCAGTCTTGCCAGATAGTAAAATCAGAGATGAGAGAGCGTTTTTGTTGTCTTGTGATATTTTATTTTTGTGATGTAATGAAAAGCAAGTTAAAATACGTATAATATTTCTATTATTATTTTGGGGTCAGTGAGATTTAAAAACATTTATCATCCTCCGGTTTCACAGATGAGGCTTGAGTCGAGTCCCAGACTAAAACATTTGAGCTGTTTTAAATGATAGCAACTTGCACTGAAATATCTTAAAAATATGTCAGTGCCATTTTTTTTCCTCTTGAGATAAACACCAGTGATGTTTTTGTTTTCTTTGTCCTTTAAGGCACATTTATAACAGCTACTTAATCCTGGCTTAATCAAAGCCCTGTCTGTCAAACCAGGCCTTATACTTCTATTCAACAAGGATGCATTCAAAAGAATCTATTGCAGGTTTTAATGTTTATTTGTAGTAGATTTAAGAATGTTACAAAAGATTTATAATTCAAATAAATGTTGTTCTATTGACCTTTCTATTAATCAAAGAATTAATGAAAATCCAAATGTATCACTGTTTCCACAAACATATTAAGCATCACCACTGTTTCCACCACTGATAGAAATAATACATTTCTTGAGCATCGAATCAGTGTATTAAAATAACTTTTGAAGGATCGTGTGACACTAAAGACTGGAGTAATGATGCTAAAAATTCAAATTTGCCATTTTAGGAACCTAATAGAAACCTGCTATTTAATTTAATTTTAATTTTAATCGTGTTTCACAATATTGCTGTTATTACTGTATTTTCAAACAAATTATGAGCATAATAGATATATGGTATACTACTTGAAGAGGTGTGCTTAAGACTGACATGACTCCAATGTCATGAATATGAAGGAGGTTTTATGCATGTTTATGACAACTGTCATTAAGTGTCATTCGCTCAATTATGACATTTTTAATGCAAACATGACATTGTTTGAGATGTCTTTATGACACCTTGACATAAACCAATACACCATAACCTGTCAGAGTCTTTGTCATGACAACTAACTTGACATAAACCAATACATCATAACCTGTCAGTGTCTTAGTCATGGCAACTTGACATTACAAAGACAACACAATCTGTCATAAACATGACATAGCAGATTAATTATCAAACTTAAGAAACCACTTAGCTTTATGGGTTAACTCAAGTGTCAGGTTTGGTTTTGACATTGGCTGTCATGAAGCCATTATAACAATTTAATGAATTTGTCATTAAAATGTTATAATGGCCTCATGACAGCCAATGTCAAAACCAACCACATGACAGTTCAATAATCCTAACCCATAAAGCTAGTGGTTTCTAAGTTTAAGTTTGATAATTAATCTGTTATGTCATGTTTATGCCATATTTATGCCAATTTATGTTGTCTTAGTAATGGCAAGTCGTCAAGGACACTGACAGGTTATGAAGAATTGGTTTATGTCAAGTTGTCATGACAAAGACATTTTAAACAATATCATATTTGCATTAAAAATGTCATAATTGCGTGAATAACTCTTAATGACATGCATCATAAACATGCACAAAACCTGTGACATGACGTGTCATGTCATGATTATGAAGGTGTCGTGTCAGTCTTATGCACACCCCTTCAAGTAAAGTGTTACCAAATAGATAATAATTTACATATACATGCATACACACTGTACACACAATGTATGTTCATTTATTTTTTTAATTGAGTTTTCTGTGTAGAATATATTAGCTCTGGCAGCAGGAGTGATTGGTCTTTCATGCAGCTCTGAGTGTGTTGATGTGGACTTTGCTGATTGGCTGCATAATCTCTGTGGCAGAGAGGAAATGGAGAGTTTAGCTCTGAAGAAGCAGCTGCTGTCTTGGAGAGGTGCCCATCTGAAGCAGTGCGTTAATGCTGTCATGTCCCAATACAGCATCTTAGACGGATCATATAGGGACAGCTTCTTATAATGCCTTCAATTGGATAGCACATAAAATGATGCCAGTTCTTAGACTGTCCGAGTTAATAGGAAGCCATATAAATGACCTCTAATCCAACCAGTCTCTCCCCTGCAGCGTTTCTCAAGCTTCTTTTTGCAGTGGTTTATTTGGGGTTCAAATTGTGTCCTTTGATGCAACATAAGAGATATCTAAGAATTGTAATTTTTTAAAGAGAACCCGCATCATTATTTTGTGTTTCACAGTTGAACACTTCAGTTGACCTCCATGAGCTCAGGGTTTTATACCGTTTGCTGTGTGCATGGATGCTGTTGTGCACATTTCACCTGACTGATTCTGATTCTGCTGTTTCTCAGAATATTGGCGTCCTTCTCTCATCACCAAGGCAACCGCTGCAGTTGTGTGCGGTATCGGCCATTTTGTGGGGGAGAGGAAACTGCTTTGCTGAGAGCTGGTCTGCTTTAATAAAATGGAGGTTTAAGCCTTTAAAGTAACTCATCTAATTTGACCATGTTCTCGGCTGTGCTCGATACAATCTATAATGTGATTGTGTAAGTGAATCTAAGAACACATGACCTTCAGTTTAAACTGCTCTCTGGACCGCGCTCAGCTTTTCTAGTTGCATCAATACAATCACTTTAACATAGAAACTAACAGGTTTGTAAGTGACGGACACTTCGCCCATGACATTTCGATGCTGTTATATAATAGCTGATGAGTCAGTGAATACATGTCTGTGATTTCTGAAGCTGAAAACGAGAGCGGTAATTCTCCCCACAATTCATTTAGACAAAACAGTCATTAAACTAAATGTCCCCCGAACGTTTAGCAGATTGGGTTAATGGTTTTTAAAGTAATTACATATTTCAAATGTTTTGTGCTTGCTTTAATATGAGCAGGTGTTTGGGATCTTGCATAAACTTCAGAATATATCAAGCTGTTTGATTCATCTTTTGTTTATCCAGTTTTCTGGACTTTTTCCAGCGATTCCTTCATAGTATATGGTCACGGTGAGGAGTCTTGTTTCTCTGCCATTTGTGCCTTATTACACGTATGTCTCTGCTATATATGGATACACGAGAACAGAGCTGATGTCCTAGTTCTGAAATCTCTGCAGAGCTCGCTCTTGACGCCACCAATCTTATTCTTCTTTCTGAGCTGAATCAATAATGAATCTTAAATTGGCTCATGGGCATTGAAGTTGCAGATATGAACATTTGGATTTCTTTTTGGGCATCAGTGAAGCACATCCTGGGAAAATCTCATCTTTAATGCATATTATATTGCCCTGGGGTTGGTACATTAAAAAAAATAAAATAAATGTTTTTGAAAGAAATCTCTTATGCTGACCAAGGATGTTTATATTTATTTGATTAAAGTATTTATTTGATAAAAAACACAGTAAAATCAGTAATAATGTGAAATTTTATTCCAATGTAAAATAGCAGTTTTCTAGTTTAATATATTTAAAAATGTAATTTATTCCTTTGAATTTTTCAGCATCATTACTTCAGTCTTCAGCATCACATGATTTTTTAAGAAATCATTCTAATATGCTGATTTTGAGCTCAAGAAACATTTATCATTGTTGAAAACTAATTATATATATATATATATATATATATATATATGTTAAAAACAGCATTTATTTCATATAGAAATCTAGAAATCTTTTGTAGCATTATACAAGTCTTTACTGCAATTTTTGATCAATTGAATGCATCCTTGTGGAATAAAGGTTAAATTTCTTTCAAAAACTCTTACCGACCCCAAACTTTTGAACCGTATACCTTGTTTACATCTCCACAGACCAAGAAACTTAAAAAAGAACAGCTCAGTCATAACTGTGAGTTCTGACAAAATTTTATTTCAAATGTAAGTGTTCCAATAATAAAGTAAAACATAAATCAACAGCGATATAAATATTAGCTTGTAAAATAAAAAGGGTAACATGAGGTGCTAAGCATTTCTTAAAAGGAATCACAGTCAAATACAGAAAGGTAGCCAAGCAGCAGACAGACATTTATATATATATATATAGATAAGATATTCATAGTCAAACAGACAGGATTGGCATTCCAGTATCATTACCGACTGATTGGAATTACAAGCACAGAAAAGTACAGTCAGATGTGGGGAGGGAAGGTACTCTAATGACAGCAAGTGTCGTCTGTTATCTTTCAAGGTTTAAAGTGATTGGAGAAAAGGAAAGAATGTGTAATCGAAGGGGAAAAACACAAAAATATGCACATGGTCCACAAGCCTTAAGCTACGATTGCGTGTCTTCAGAAGTTCTGTTGTATGTACAGTTTGGTTAGTCAATGATCTCGAACACTACACTGGATCTTTTTTTTTTCTATGGTCTTTTTTTTTGCTTTTTTAAAAAATACTGAAACATTCCTGTAACAGCCAGCCCTTGTGGCTCTAATGTTTGTACAGACAGGTTACACTTTTTATATACACTGTGGTGGTGGTTGGTGCAGAATCCCTCCATCTAAGAGCCATTCAAGTGCATTGAAGTTAGTCATTAGTCTTTCCACATATTCATTGTTTTCTTTCATTTTGGTTGACTTCATGTTTTCCACCGACTCAAACTCTTCGCACGTTCACTTTGACCCAAATCAATCTCTGATCTTGACCTTACAAAGGCTGAGATTTATCTTTTCTGATCTTTACAAAACACTGTTTACGTTACTTGCAATTCCAAAGGATTTTTATATACCACGCTAACCGGAAATAATAGCAAAGAAAGTCAAACGGTGTTAACCTAACATTCAGCTCTGCTTAACTGGCTATTAATGAGAAGACTGAATCTATTTTTACATACCATGCCAACAGTTCAGTGTCTCACCATCTGGTTTTAGACAAACGTAAATGTATTTTCTTATTCCGAAAACATCGTCCTCTTTGCACTGCATAGTTCAGCTCAATACTCATTTCAGTCAAGGTAAGAGTCGTGGCACATTATGTTAAAAAGCCTAACAGCGTTTCATTTTGTAACCACAAGAAGCATCTACTTTGCTTTGAAAAGAACACAAAAAAGCCTAAAACATGACATTTGAGGGGAACAAAGAAGAAATGCGTGTTTTCTTCTTGTTTTAGTAATGCTATTTACAGGACAGAGTTATCTGTCGAAGAACGAGTTTCAGGAATCTGAACACATCTCCTTTTGTTCAGTCATTTTTCAGCGACAGGAAATGCTTTTTTTCGGGGTTATTGTGTAATATATTGTAAATAGAATTCAAAATCCAATAAATAATAATAATAATAAAAAAGGTCAATCTAAAACAAACAAATGAAAACCTCACAGACATAAACATTGAATCTTAATCTTTTGATTCTTTGACCAAACCCGTGGACACGTTTTGTGAGGAGAGATGCTCAGATCCCGGCAACATATTTCTGCAGCTCTGATAGTGCTTGCCCGTGTGCCTTACTTCTTGTCTTTCTTGGTGGGCTTCTTCTTGCTGGCGGGCGTTTGAGCTGCTTTGGGGACTTCGGCGGGGGGCAGGGCTTGAGGAGGGGGAAGGGCCTGCTGGGGTACCTGTTGCTGAGGGTTGGCCGTGAGGGTGGCGGTACTGCCCGGGATGTACACGTTCTGGCGGTACTCTGGGCCGTACTGTAGATTGTAGCGAGGGCCAAGAGTTGCGGTAGCTTCACTTGCTTCTGAGACCAATGGTAGGGTGAGAAACGGCAAGAAGAAATAGGAGAAGGTATCGAAGAACAGGAGAGAGAGATGGAAAAGGTTAGAGATGGGTTGGTTCGGCACAGAGCTCATAATTCAGTCACTCAGGAACCGCATTGCAGCTCCTTCAGTGACCTGCTTCTGCCTGCCCATCCCCCATGCATTATGAATGGCGTAACATCGACATGCATCTCATACTCGGCAACACTCTTTCAGGAACAGAATAAATCTGTACTGTATACAAGAACAGAATGCACTATTTTCACAGTTCTTGTCAAATGCATTACACAGGGACTTTGTCCTCGAATGGTAGTGAGGCAGGTCTGCCTTTGTTCACACAGAATAAATTTGATTCCATCCCCCAAATTCACAAGTCAAAGATGTGGTCAGTTTGACATGGACCCAGCCTTGTGAAAAAATAAGTGCACTTAATTGTCTTGCAAGTGGATTTTTAGTAAGGCCACTTAAATGTTTCATGTTTTTTAACACACTTAAGTCCACTTTTTAAAAAGTGCACTTTGTAATCATGTCAAATTAAGCTTACATTTCAATACATACATCACACTTTAGAAAAGGACACTTATTTTGTGTTGACAAACAGTATCAAGTATTTTATTGCAATTTTAACGCTATAGTGTTTTTCGAACATACTGTGCATTTAAAGTTGATATATTTTATATTATGTAAATACAAATATATGACAGCAGTTTTTACAGAAATTGCACTAAAGTGTATTTTAGTTTATATTTTAGTATCCATATTTCAAAGACAATAGAAGTAATTATGAAATTACATATAATGTTGTACTTACAAAAAAGGCACAATCTAATTGCATTCAATATAAATTTAAAATCTAATATATTTTAATTTCATGGCCATTTATAATGCAATTAAGTATCTGAAAACATGCATTCAGTTTGTACTTAAGTAAATTATTTTAAAGTATTTCATTTCCATAACAAGCCTTTTAAAAGTACACTAAAGTGTTATTGTATCTAAATATACATTATCTCTAAATAATCGTACTAAGTGCATGTACAAGTTTGATTTAATCAGACTAAAACAATTAGTCATGATTTTTTTTTTCTGACTAAAATATACAAGCCAGGTGTGATTTTGAACTAACAGATCTAGTTAATGTGATAGTAGCTCGGCTTCATCTAGCATGTATATATGTGAACATATAGTTGATGACACTCTTGAGATTCTGTGTTTTAGAAAGACTGCATTCATCTTGGCTAGAGAAGAACATCAGCACAGTGTTGTTGTGTTGACTGCAGCTGCTGAGAGGGAGAAAGTCTCTTTTGTCTCTTTACACTCAATTAGTTTGACCCTATAACAGTCAATAAATTGCGAAATCCATTGTGCCCTAGAAAATGCTCTCTCTCTTTCCTTACACCGGCCAGTTTCTAACGCTCTTCAGAATCTGATGAGGACTGGTGGATCAAATACAGTTAATGTGGATAGTCTTTCCTCCTTCACAGACCAGCGTGTGTTTTGGATGCTGGTGGGCTGATTTGCCCCCGGCGTGTTGCTTAATTAGCTTAACCAGCAAGATTGTCATGAAAATTTAGCTTGCTAAGCTGATCAGCCAGAAGGACATTTTCTTCTTACAAGCTAAGTTTTGCTGGTTCAAACGTTAAATATGTGAAACATAGCAAAGGCTACATGTGCTTTCTCCCCAAGTTATAAGTGAGATTGAGATTCACCGTTGGCTGCCGCCATCAGAGCCTGGAGCTGTTCAGCTTCGGTAGGGGGGTTGGGCCACGGTCCTGTTCCCGCTATCACACCAGGGCCGGCACCTGCCTCGTCAGGACGCACTCCAGCCCTACACGAGAGAGACAAGAGAGTTAGAGACTCGACATATGCTCACACACATTCATGGTGCTTTTTTCTCACATTTTACCTCTCGCACACATATGAGAGAACAGCAGCCACCAAGTTTGCTAGCATAAACGCACCCGGTTCATTATTTGAGACAGCCATTTTGTGTGACAGGGTAGGACACAGTGCAGTGCATTTCAGTCAGAAAATGGAGGCTAAAGTCGACAGAGCCGAGGTAAACATGATGTAAACAGACAGATGAGCTGATCAGAATACCTTTTTTTGGGTCTGTTTACACCATGTGACATGACAACACATACACTTTGCCCTTTGATTAAATCACAACAAGCTTTATTTAAAGGGATAGTTCACCCCCAAATTAAACATTTCTCATTTACTCAACCTTGTGTTTCTTTTTCTTCATTGAAACAGTGGAATTCAATGGGATCCAGTGTTTGAATTACCTTTGGAACGTTTGGAACAAGATGAGGGTGAGCAAATGATGACAGAATTCAAATTTTCGGGGTGAACTATACCTTTAAGTATATTTCTTATTACAGGCTGCTCAGTTTCAAAATGTCATATGAATAAAAAGCTGGGGTTTTTTTTAACTCTCTCTGCCCACACAAACAGCTAACGTGGTCTGTACATGAGGACAGAAATAATTCTCTACTCTTTAGGGACAGACTTCACAGACTTGGCTCTACAAAGCCAAAATAAACCAAATTGGAACAAACAAGTTTAGCACAGGTAAACACAGTGCGACAACAACCCAGAGCAAGATGCAACGGACAGCTATCAGCGATACACACACATCCAAAAGCCTTATTCTTTAATGAACGGAACTGCATGTAATTTGCGTTTACATGTATATATGTTGGAACAGACTGGACACAGCATGTCGCTGGAAGCTGCAGGACACATAATCTGAACGACCTAAACACAGCACTAGAAGGCCACACACCAGGTGAAGCCAAACGCTACCACACACTAGCCTTCTCTTCGCCTTCACTCTACCTGGACTTCTCGTATGGAGTCCATCTCTGCTGCAGGGTGTGGAACCTTTGTTGACTGAAAGATAAGCACAGGAGCATGCAGCTGTCACTCAATCGCCCCACGTCCACTGAGGACGAGACTGATTCCTTCAGGTTTAAACCTTATTTGCGATACTATAAAGACGTTGTGTCTCACAGGTTAGCCTTTGTATGTTTTAATCTGATGATTGCTGTCATGAATAATATATCGGGTGTTTTTGCAAGATTTTTTTCACATGATTTATTTTGCAGGGTTTTCTACACAGGATTCTTTTGCAGGGTTTCCTCTGTAACAGTTGTGACTTTTCAGTTGGGATCTAAAATATTAATAATGGCAATAATGACAGTATATTTGACTAAATAGGGATGAAAACACAAACGAAGGAAATTTAAAACTAATTTCAGTTATAATCTACATGTTTTTGTCAATGACTATCTCTTAACTCTTTTTGCTGACTAACTTCAGAAGATTGCGGCCACTTAAGATCTGGGCATTCAAATGTTCCCTGATCTTGTTCTGATATCTCATTGCAATCAGACAGATTACATTAAAACTATTAATACACAGAGAACGTAATACTATGTGGATAATCTCAAATGTTATTTATAGGTTTTTGCGAGACAAGTAAATTGAATCCAACACTCACCCGCTTGGTCCGGGCCTCTGGTTTGGAGGAAATCGCCAATCCGAGTTAGGTGGCTTTTGCTGAAAATAAGAAGAAAAGATTTTTTGTCAAAATCTTGTTTGGCACAGAGATTCATTTGCACTTGTATGTTCTGGAGAGCAGGTCCCTCCATCCCGTCATAGGAGGTTGTAATTCTGAAACACAAATTTGTATTATTGACATCAAAGTACACTTTGAAACACGTTTCTCCTCAGGACTGTTTGAAACTGCACCTTTGCCAGAACATAAAGAAAAAATAGTAGTGAGAAACAGAGCAACGAAGAAGAACATAGGGTTGGAAATAGGTTGAGGGAGAGTGTGTGTGTGTGTGTGTGTGTGTGTGAATAATTGAAACTTCTATCATGTCGCCGCCACGCATGAGTGCGTGTGCATGTGGAAAATACACACAAGTCTGTATTAAACAAAATATGAGCTCACCTGTGGGTGGATTGTGGATACACAATCCCTCCACAATATTTCATCATTTTGCCTTATTTGTTTTAATTTCCTTTGTATCCCACACAATTATGCTGCATGTCGCCACACCGGGTTGAGCCATTATGTTGCAAGAGGTTATTCAAGGCATGTGCAATGCCACAATGATCTTCTAAACTCTTGTGCAGAATTCACAAAATACAGTCTGCTATTTTTGGACTGCAGAGCATGGATACAGCTTTATCCAACTGCTTCTATTTCTAAATCATAATGATTACAAAAGTCAGCTTCACCTTACTGCAGAACATTTGACTAGTTACTTCTCAGATTCATATTGTTGAATTTTCCGCTGTGTCATTGGGCCTGGAAATAGCTCTTAACATGGCCTGATTATTAATACACTAGGCATTACAGAGTGCTTTGTCCAAAAAGTGAGTCATAAAGACTGAAGCCTGCGTCAATAGTAATTTCTGGACATATTCTGTACAGCATGATTTTCATGTTACCACAAACACATGCAGCTTATTAGTCAAAATAGTCAAAGACAACAGTAAATGCATTATAATTTTGCAAAAGATTTCTATTTCAAATAAATGCAGTTCTTTGGAACTTTTAATTGACTGTCAAATCAAAAATATTTCTTGAGAGCCAAATCAGCATAGACTGATTTCTGAAGGATCATGTGACATTGAAGACTGGAGTAATGAGGCTGATCATTCAGCTTTGCCATCACAGGAATGAATAACATTTGGACATTTTAAAATAAAAAATACTCTGCATTTAAAGAAGACGAGTAAAATAGAGTTGTCTTAGTGAGCATAAGAGATTTCTTTCAAATGCATTTATCTTACCAACCTCTAACTTTTAAAAGCTAGAGCATAATATTTCCATGTACTCTCACCTTCATGAGTGAGTGAGTGAAGAGTCTTTTTGACAGTCGCATGCTTAGATTGCTCTGTGGTGCCTTAACAAACACAAAGTCACTTCTGCTGGAAATGGTGGAGAAACCAGGAGTATATGTGTGTTTGTGGAAATCCCGAGAGGCCCCCACGACCTCCATGTATCTAACGGGACCGTCAGTATTTAGCTGCAGGTGGAGGTCGTTGTGTTGGTGCTCACGAGATGCGTGCTTGAAACCAAGTTTTTGCATGAGGCACATAATGTAACCATGTTGGCCGAGCCAGCGCACTGCTAAAACAATGGTAGCCAGGAATGAGACCGCAATAATGAAGGATAAAATGATGATAAGATACAAAGTGAGGTCAGTCCCAGTTGGTCTTTTGGAGTTAGAGTTCCTGTGCTCAGAAGAGGCGTCTGAGGCTTTTTCAGACAGGGTGACGTTAACTACCACGCTTGCGGAGAGAGAAGGCCTGCCGTTATCTTTTACAATCACAGTGAGACTAAAGACAGATTTGTTGTCCTCTGCTGTAAGTTTACGGGCTGTTCGCAGCTCTCCGGTGTGTGAACCTATGTGAAACATTTCAGCATCAAGGCCTGAGATTCTGTAGAATAACCAGGCATTGTGGCCACTATCACCGTCCACAAATGTGATGCGATTGACTAGGTGTCCGATACCGAGTGTGCTAGGTACTAAAAACTGCAGTGTCCCATCAGATGGGGGTGCAGGGTATATAAGGACAGGAGGGTGATCATTCTGGTCTTTAATAAACACATGCACTGTGGTGTTGGAGCTTCGACCTGGAGTTCCTCTATCAAGAACTTGCACCACAAATTGAAACGCATTCAGTTGCTCACAGTCAAACTTTCTCAAAGCATATATATGTCCACTATCTGGGTTAATATACACGTATGAAGACACGGACACACCGAGAGCCTCGCTCTCCAGAATCGAGAAGGAAACTGTAGAATTCTCCCCCACATCTGGGTCTGATGCAGTCACGGACAGAAGGGGAGCATTTGGGGCATTGTTTTCAGCTATGTCTACTGAGTAAGAAGGCTGTGAAAAGACTGGGGGGTTATCATTAACATCTGAAAGACGTAACACAAAAGATTCCTGCGAGGAACGAGGCGGGGAACCAGAGTCTGTGGCGATCATGGTGATGGTGTATTCAGCCAAAGCCTCTCTGTCCAGCTGGCCATCGGTCATTAAAGTGAAAAGCCCCTTATATGGCGAACTCATCTTGAAAGGCAACCCATGAGGGATGTGCACACTCACTTCACCATTTTTACCTGTGTCTTCATCTCTGACTTTGATGAGGGCTATGACAGTGCCTGAACTCACATCTTCAGAGATTACAGGGGAAACCACATTAATGCTGATTGCAGGGGTGTTGTCATTCACGTCAATAATTTCGATTTTGATGTTGCACGAACCCTCCATGGGAGGTATTCCTTTATCCCTAGCGAGAATAGTGACGTCATACACGTTAGCGAGTTCGTGATCGACTAGTCCTGTAACTCTAATTTCGCCAGTCATAGAATCCACGCTAAAGAGTTTCAAAACATTATCAGGGGTGTATTTATCGAACGTGTAAGATATTTCACCATTTTGACCATGATCGGCATCGGAGGCATTAAGAGTTGTAACTAATGATCCATGAGGTGAATTTTCTAAAAGCGTGACTCTTTTTGTAGGATTATTAAAGTGTGGCGCATTGTCATTGACATCTAAAACATTTATAAAAATGGCACTACTTCCAGACTTTTCTGCACTTGCACCATCAACCGCAGTTAAAATTAGGCTAAATTCACTCGTCTTTTCTCTGTCAAGAGGCTTGTTTAAGACCAAAATTGGTATTTTACTTCCGTCACTTTTAGTTTCTACTTTTAGGATAAAATAATCGTTTTGACTAAGAAAATAAGCGCGCAGTGAATTCACACCCACATCGGGGTCATGAGCACTTTCTAAACGGAACATCGTTCCCGGCGCAGCCGCTTCTGAAACTTCCAATGAAGTGTCTTGGCTTGGGAAAAGCGGCGCGTTGTCGTTAACATCCACAATTTCTATCGTAACGCTGTGCATTTCCAAAGGATTTTGGAGAGAAACTTGGATCCGAATGTGACAATGTAAATTTCCTCCGCACATACTCTCTCTGTCCATTGTTTGCTTGACCACCAAAGCTCCAGATGTCAGGTCTACGTCAACATATTTATCATTAGATTCCGAGATTATTCGCATCTCCCTTAGAAGAATCACTTGAACGTCAATTCCTAAATCTTTAGTCAAGAGTCCAACAACAGTTCCTGGTTTAGATTCCTCCGCTGTCGAATATAAAAGGTCTGAAGCGTGCGTTCCAAAACACAAAGCATTAAGAACAATCCACAATGCAGCCCAGTCCAAAGATCTCTGAAAAAGCTCTTTACTCTCCATTTTTAATTGAGTATTTTCACTAGTAGCTATAGACTCCTTCGAGATTTTAATGTATGCATTTCCTAGATGCGTTTATCTTATACGTTTTGTTTTCTATTCATCTCCAACATTGGTTGTAAGTTTCTAAAATACAGCTCTTGAGAGCAACAAGTGTGGGAGGTCTTGCAAAAGAGTGAAAAGGGGTGGGGTTAAAATCGTGCGTTTCTATTGGAGGAAAGTTACTTCGCTCAGACAAAAGCACATCTGGAGCTGTCCAAGGTGCTGAAAGCGCCACTATATCACTGTTACTTACACTGAATGTATAAACATGAACTTTAAGTTACATTGTTTGACTTGAAACAAGTGTGTCTCACCTGTTGGCTCTCGAACGTCCACGCGCTGTCTGGTAATGACGCATCAAGCACGTTTAGCGTGTCTGTAAAGTTTGTGGTGCTGCTGGGCTTAACGAGGGTGAGATCACTGAATTCTGACATTGGAGAGAGATAGGAGCCAAAGGACTGACTCTGAGACATCATGTCTCCTCCCAGAACCTCCACATACTTAATGGGCCCGTCAGTGTTGAGCTGGATCTGCAGGTTTCTGTTGGGGTTCTTGTATCCAGAATCAGTTCGCCTGATACAGCAGCTTGAGCCGCCTCTACTGCCTCGCGCACATTTCACCAGTAGGATGAAAAATGTCACCAAAGACAACAAAGACACAGCGGCTAAAGAGATGATCAGGTATAATGTAATTTTTCCACTTTTTTTGCTAGGCTCTACGTTTTTCTTATAATAGTCTGAGATGGGCTCGTGAAATCCGTCCTCTATCAGTATATCCACCGTAACCGTAGTGGAAAGCTCCGGGCTTCCATTATCCTTTATCTCTATCATCAGTCTCTGAGAGGGGTCATCCTGCTCTGCAACAGCGCGTTTAGTCCTCACCTCTCCCGTGTGTAAATTCACACTGAACAGTGACGCGTCCGTGGCCTCCGCGAGCCTGTAGAAGAGCCAAGCGTTATGACCAGAGTCTGCGTCCACTGCTGTTACCTTAGTAACGAGATGTCCTGCTTTAGAAGAACGGGGCATCCTCTGATGAGGGACAGACCCCATGGATGTGGACGGGTAAATTACAGCAGGAGTGTTATCGTTCTGGTCCAAAATAAAAACATACACTGTGGCGTTGCTGCTCAGAGATGGAGAGCCATGATCTTTAGCCTGAACGATGACCTCAAACACTTTTATTTTTTCGAAATCAAACGAATGCATGCTAAATATGCTTCCATTGTCAGAGTTTATGTACAAATACGACGATATTGGGGTATCCCAAACTTTAGTGTTTTCAATGGAGTATGATACTTTGCCATTTACCCCGACATCAACGTCTTGGGCGGATACTGAACAGATAATAGAGCCTGGGGCGTTATTCTCTCTTATGTAGACATGATATACGCTATCAGAGAACTTCGGGGAATTGTCGTTAACATCGAGAATTTTAACTGGAATTATTGTTTTGCTACTTAAAGACGGCGAGCCAGAGTCAAATGCAGTGATTTCTACGTTATAATCCGGGAACGTTTCGCGGTCTAAAATACCGTTTGTGACCAAGGAATATTCATTTGAGAAAGAAGGTTTTAAAATAAATGGAAGGCCAGACTGTGTCTGTAGTCTGACTTTTCCATTGTCCCCAGAGTCAATGTCCCGTGCGCTTATTAACGCAACAACTGTCCCGCTTGGCGCGTCCTCGCGCAAAGGACTCGGTTTAGACGTAAGCAATATCTGCGGTGGATTGTCGTTAATATCAGAGACTTCTATTTTTACCGTGCAATGACCCTCCATTTCGGGGACACCTCGGTCTCTGGCACGTATCTCAATGTTGTACATAGGAGTGGTTTCATAATCCAACTCCCCGTTTAGAAACATTTCCCCGGTTTTCTCATCGATATGAAACAACGAGCGCAGCGCATCAGACATGTGCTCACCTAAGGAATATTTTATCTCTCCATTTGGGCCTTCGTCCAAGTCTTTTGCCTCAACTTTTAGAAATGTCGTACCTTGTTTACTGTTTTCAGCAATAGCTACTTTGTAAACATTTTTCTCAAATACGGGGTTGTTGTCATTGTTATCCAGCACGGTGACATTAATTTGTGACGTTCCAGATCTAACCGGGTTTCCTCCATCTATTGCAGTTAACATTAGCTGATGCATTGGTTTCTTCTCGCGGTCCAAAGGTTTATCCAGGACTAATTCAGGTACCTTACGGCCATCACCAAGATCTTTTATTTTTAAACTGAAACATTCGTCTTTACTCAAAGTATACGATTTCAAAGAGTTACTGCCTACATCTGGGTCTACTGCGCTCTCCAAAGGAAAGCGCATACCAGGAACACTAGATTCTGCTATTTTTAAAATGCTGTCCGTCGACTGAAAATGCGGGTAATTGTCATTAATATCCTGTATTTCGACTTCCACTCTATAAAGTTGTAAAGGGTCCTCGATAACGATTTGAAGAGGTAACAGACAATTTGCGTTTTCGCCACAAAGGATCTCTCTGTCGATTCTCTCATTAACCACTATCTCTCCTCTGCGTGAATCCAAGCTGAAATACTGCTTGTCTGATTCAGAGGCTATTCGCAATTTACGGTCATACAGCTCAGATATTTTCAGACCTAAATCTTTTGCGATATTTCCAACAACAGCGCCCACATTTAATTCCTCTGGAATTGAGTAGCGAGTCTGTCCTTCTGTCGTACTCCACAAAAGAAGAAAGAGAAAAAAGAAGAGCAAATAATGCCTCCACCATCTGAATGCCACCCTCTTTGTCATTTTGATTTACAATCCAGACGATTCACAGTGCTGATAAACAACTAGGGATCCCAATACACGATGACAATTTAGTATGTCCGTTATGTCTAAAAAATATGTTGAAATCCATATTATCGGAGCGATTAGGGCATCCCTCGCCTCTGCTTGCACTGAACGTTGTGATGCTAGTGGGGGAGGGAGTAGATCTCTTTGTGCAATTCTGCATGTGATTGGAGTAGGCATAAATCGCAATAACCAATAGCAAGAGAACTGTCTCTTAAAGGCACCAGCACCTGCATATGAGATCATTGGTCATCATAGATTTATGCTGTCTGTACAAATTATATATTTCTATGGGAATTATTATTAATATTACCATACATTTTTTTAAATGTCAGTGTATATATATATATATATATATATATATATATATATATATATATATATATATATATATATATATTTAAATAGCAGAGGGGGTGATGTTTTTGATAAGTTTTTTTGCAGCTGCATTTATTGAATAATTATGAACTACAATATCAGAACATTTTTGATATATAATATTTATTTATATTATATTATTATACATTTGAATTACATTTGAATTCTTAGAACAAGAGCTCTTGTGCCTTGCAATTTCTTCACTGGGAAGCGCGAATAAACAAACATAATTTTGAGCAGAAACCTCTATCCTTGGTTTCATGTGGATTTCATAGCCTAATTAACTTCACATTTAGATATAATTCTAATCGTGACTGAGGCACATATACAGAAGTTATTTTAAGTTATTTCCACTGTTATGAGAAAACAAATAAACAAACAATAAACAGCTTTTTTTGCGCTAATTCAACATACCAGAATTAAAACCCGATTTTAGAATAATGCATAGCGCCACTCGACCAGGTGTGCCAAAACAATTATTTGTAAACTTATTAAACTTATTTTTAACTTATTTTAAACTTAAACTTATTATTATTAAACTTTTCATTCAAAATAATCACAAAGCCCAATAGCACAACAATCTGTCCACAAAAAAAATAAAATAAAAATAGACTATATGCCTCATATCGCATGAGTCAGCATTAGCATGGATTCCGGGTTGATCATAAAACAGTGACTCCTGTATTCCCATTCTCAGTTGTAATATTTCTAGGAATTTTGGTTCCTGTTAATTACAATGGCGTGCTGCTCTGAATCATTTTCATTTGTCTTTAACTTGGCTAGCTGTAGTTTTCATTTTATGTGACAATTACTTGTGACATGTTAGCAAAGTCAGTCCTGGAGTGGACAAAGCAATCCATGGATCAAGGCCACTGAAACGCGCAGACAGTGACAGAAGTCCACTTCTGATTTTATTGTTGTTTAAACGTGCACTTTAATTAGTTATTTATATACACTTTATAATATACATTTTGCATGGTCTGTTGGTTAAGTAGCACATTTATTATTTTTCTCAGCTCACCTGTTGACTCTCGAACGTCCACGCGCTGTCTGGTAATGACGCATCAAGCACATTTAGCGTGTCTGTAAAGTTTGTGGTGCTGCTGGGCTTAACGAGGGTGAGATCACTGAATTCTGACATTGGAGAGAGATAGGAGCCAAAGGACTGACTCTGAGACATCATGTCTCCTCCCAGAACCTCCACATATTTAATGGGCCCGTCAGTGTTGAGCTGGATCTGCAGGTTTCTGTTGGGGTTCTTGTATCCAGAATCAGTTCGCCTGATACAGCAGCTTGAACCACCTCTACTGCCTCGCGCACATTTCACCAGTAAGATGAAAAACGTCATCAGACACAACAAAGACACCGCCACCAAAGAGATGATCAGGTATAAAGTAATTTTACCACTTTTCTTGTTGGGCTCGATAGTTTTCTCTCTATAGTCTGAGATGGGCTCATGAAACCCGTCCTCTATCAGTATATCCACTGTGGCTGTGGTGGACTGGATCGGTTCTCCATTGTCCTTTATCTCTATTATCAGTCTCTGAGAGGGGTCATCCTGCTCTGAAACAGCGCGTTTAGTCCTCACCTCTCCCGTGTGTAAATTCACACTGAACAGTGACGCGTCCGTGGCCTCCGCGAGCCTGTAGAAGAGCCAGGCGTTATGACCCGAGTCCGCGTCCACTGCTGTTACCTTAGTGACGAGATGTCCTGCTTTAGCAGAACGGGGCATCCTCTGATGAGGCACAGACCCCATGGATGTGGACGGGTAAATGACAGCAGGAGCGTTATCGTTCCGGTCCAGAATAAACACCTGAACAGTGGCGTTACTGCTCAGAGATGGAGAGCCATGATCTTTAGCCTGAACTAGAACACTGAACAATTTTGCCTTTTCATAATCAAAGGTACTCATGCAGTAAATGGTTCCATTCTCAGAGTTGATATAAAAATAAGATGATGCTGGAACGTGATAAGAACTTGAGTCCAGGATTGAATATGTAAATAGAGCGTTTTTATCCTGGTCAATATCAAACGCAGATACAGAAAACAATGAAGTGCCTGCAAGATTATTTTCGTTAATGTAAACATTATATGAGGTCTGTGAGAATACTGGAGGGTTGTCATTTACATCAAGCACTTTAATATTTACAGACTTCAAAGTTTTTAATGGTGGGACACCAGAGTCTATGGCCAGTATGTCTACACTATACTCAGAATGAACCTCACGGTCAAGAAATGAGTCCGTTATCAAAGAATAATAATTATGGGAAGGTTTCAATTTAAACGGAACATCCGGGGAGACAATTAGCTCGACTTTACCATTATTACCGGAGTCCAAATCGTTGACGGTAATCAGAGCCACCACAGTTCCCACCGTTGCATTTTCAGGTACAGGGCTCGGTAAAGATGTCAGTATAATCTCTGGAGGGTTGTCATTCTCATCTATGATATCTATCTGAACCGATGACTGTCCCTCGAGCTCTGGATTCCCTTTGTCTTTAGCACAGACATCAAACGTGTACGTTTTTTTTGTCTCGTAATCTAATTTTCCAGTTACAGTTATTTCGCCGGTTTCAGCGTTTACAGTAAACGCATTTCTTACAAGCTCAGGAGTGTGCGCACCGAATAAATATTGTATCTCACCATTTGGACCTTCATCCAAATCGGTTGCTTTGATTTTGATCACACTTGAACCAACAACGGCGCTTTCTACAACAGATGCTTTGTATGCAGCAACTTCAAATTTTGGTTCGTTGTCGTTTATATCTTGAACAATTATTTGCATTAAAGATGTGCCAGATTTTACCGGATCACCGCCATCCAGAGCTGTTAATATTAGCTTGTGAACAGACTGTTTCTCTCTATCTAAAGGTTTTTCAACCACAAGTTCTGGGACCATTCTTCCATCCTTTAAAGTTTTTATATTAAGACGGAAAAAATTGTTATTACTCAAAGAATAAGTCTTTAGGCTATTGCTGCCAACATCGAGGTCCTCGGCGCTTTCAAGGGGAAATCGTGCGCCGGCAGCAGTCAGTTCATATATTTTTAATGTGGCATCTTTAGTATGAAAGTTTGGTGCATTGTCATTAATGTCTTGTATTTCTATCTCTACGTTATGCATCTGTAATGGATTCTCAATAACGATCTGAAGTGGCATCAGACAACTGGCGCTTTGTCCACAGAGCGTTTCTCTGTCTATTCTGCCATTTACTACCAGATCACCCTTCCCTGAATCCACATTGAAATACTGTCTATTTGATTCAGATGCTATCCGCAACTTACGATCGGCGATATCTGAGATGTCAAAACCAAGATCATTCGCGATATTCCCAACGATAGATCCTTCCTTTAACTCTTCAGGTATTGTGTAGCGATTCTGAGCTCCAACTGTATTCCACAATAGAGAGAAAGCGAACAGCCAAAGCGCTGCCCATTTCCACCCTCTGATCCTCCTGTGCCTCATTTCTCTGTTGCGCTTGATATTCCCATCAAAAAATCTTGATCTTATATCCATAGAAAATCAGAATGCTGTTCTCCATTTTCAAACAATTACGTTTATTCAACGCATCCTCGTTGTGGTGATCAGCCTCGTAAAGCGCTCATGTTTCCTCTCGCTCTACAGCTCATCATTGTACTCCTCTGGTTGGGGGAGGGAGTAGATCCCTTTGTACTGTCTAAAGCACGATTGGTACAGAGCACAACTCTCACTCATCCAATAGATGCTCTGCTGTTTCTTAAAAGCTTAAACCAGCCCTTTGTAGTGTGTTACGGCATCTAGCGGAGAACTGTGAACTAAAATGTGCAATAAAATTTCTTAGCTACTTAGAGAGGCAAATGTTCCCGTATACCCAAAACGACGTTTATATAACAAAGTATGATCATCGAGCATACAGGTAGGGAGATGAGCAAGTGTAACTCCAGTTTGTTCTTAAAATTCAGTAGTAAACAATTAAAGTATTTTAAAGTGTTATTTAAGCCCTTTTGCATATTTTATTTAAGATTTTGCATTTAAAAGTTTTAAAAGCAAATTTTCCCAATAAACAAATTTTATTTTTTGTTGTTGTTTCAACAATTCCTTCTAAAACTTTAGAGCAGGGATATACACACTAGGTCCTGTTGTGCCACTGTCCTGCAGAGTTTTGCTCCAACCCATAAGAACCCTCAGTGCCCAGCCTTAGTGATGTCCTGGAGACATTGATTAGCTTGTTTCAGGTGTGTTTGATTAGGGTTGGAGCTAAACTCTGCAGGACAGCGGCACTCCAGGACTGAGTGTCCCTGCTGTAGAGTCGCATGGTTACGGGAGCTGTCCAGTCCAAAGTGCTGAACACAGTCTGAAAACGTTTATCTCAGGAGATTCTATGACATCAAACATTGTGCGAAAAGGTGATTAAACCTTTAATTTGCACGTTAGTGAAATTTATTAAACATTGTTGAATCTAGGGGGGGGGGTGTCAATGTCATAGTTGTGTCTCAAGATGCACACCAGTGATGGTTTTTTTTTTTTTTTTTTTTTTTAATAAGGCACGTTTATAAAAACTACTTATATGCCCCAATTGGAAAAAAAATGCCATTCCTGGCTTAATCTAAGCCTTGTCCGTGAAACCAGGCCAATATGTCCAAGTTTTTCCACAATTTCTCAAAATTGTAAAACATAATATATGAATAATAACAACAAAAAAAAATCAAATAAAAAAATAAAACTACAGAAATTCTAGCTGATGCTGACTTCTGTCCAAAATAGAGACGCTCAGATAAACAAGAGATCTCTGAACCAATTTGGCTTAATCTAAAGGCCAATTTATACTTCTGCGTAGGGTGCGCGCAGTAGGTACGGCGTAGCATACGCACAGACGCGTCCCATACCGCGTACCCTTCGCCGTCGCCTGACGCGCACCTCCTCAAAAATGTAACTACACGTCGCGACGACGCGGACCGCAAGATCGGTGATTGGTTGGCTTGGTAGCATCGCATTTCCTCCTACGCATTTCCGCACGTACCTTCTCACGCATTTCCACCACTGTCTATGATTTCCACAAGTTTCATCTCCTCCGAAGTCTTCTCTCATTTCTGCCTTTCAGTTTTAGTAATTTCACTAAAGTGAACTGTTTTTCCACCTTAATAAGCTCCAATTCCAACATGATCAGCTCTCTTTCGCTCGTAGTAACCTAGCCGCGAGGAATCTAAACACAGTGGAACATTAAAACTCTCCGCCGCCAACTAGCGTTTCGGAGCCAACGCATTCTCACCCCAAGGCGTCACCTTTGACCATGCTTCAATATTTGACGTTTTAGGCGCCCTTTAGCGTCACTTACATGACGCGATCCTACGGCGTCATCTAACTGACGCTAAAGGAAAGCGTCAGTTAGAGGACGCGGTTAGGTTTAGGTGTGGGGTGGGGGTAGGGTACACGCGATCCTAGGGCGTCATCTAACTGACGCTAAAGGGCGCCTAAAGCGTCAGATATTGAAGCATGTCCAAATGCTTCCCAAGGCGTCAGTTAAGTGACGCCTTGGGGGTGAGAATGGGCTGTCGGAGCAGTACTGCAGAGCAACCAAGACCTGAACGCAGAAGTATAAATGCTCACAACGGCGTCGCCTACGTGCGTAGCCAACGCCGTACACTACGGCGTACCCTCGACGCAGAAGTATAAATTGGCCTTAAGCCTTGTACATGAAACTGAGCCAATATGTCCAAAAGTTTTCTCTAGGATTCCTCAGAATTGTAAAAAAAAAATATATATATAAAAAATAAAAAAAACGTGCACAGTTTTGAAGAACATAGGTATGAGACAATTCTATATGGATAATGAATTAAGTATTCTACGTCTCACCTGTTGACTCTCGAACGTCCACGCGCTGTCTGGTAATGACGCATCAAGCACGTTTAGCGTGTCTGTAAAGTTTGTGGTGCTGCTGGGCTTAACGAGGGTGAGATCACTGAATTCTGACATTGGAGAGAGATAGGAGCCAAAGGACTGACTCTGAGACATCATGTCTCCTCCCAGAACCTCCACATACTTAATGGGCCCGTCAGTGTTGAGCTGGATCTGCAGGTTTCTGTTGGGATTCTTGTATCCAGAATCAGTTCGCCTGATACAGCAGCTTGAGCCGCCTCTACTACCTCGCGCACATTTCACCAGTAGGATGAAGAACGTCATCAGACACAACAAGGACACGGAAGCCAAAGAGATGATCAGATATAAAGTAATTTTACCGCTTTTCTTGTTGGGCTCGATAGTTTTCTCTCTATAGTCTGAGATGGGCTCATGAAACCCGTCCTCTATCAGTATATCCACTGTGACTGTGGTGGACTGGATCGGTTCTCCATTATCCTTTATCTCTATCATCAGTCTCTGAGAGGGGTCATCCTGCTCTGAAACAGCGCGTTTAGTCCTCACCTCTCCCGTGTGTAAATTCACACTGAACAGTGACGCGTCCGTGGCCTCCGAGAGCCTGTAGAAGAGCCAGGCGTTATGACCCGAGTCCGCGTCCACTGCTGTTACCTTAGTGACGAGATGCCCTGTTTTAGCAGAACGGGGCATCCTCTGATGAGGGACAGACCCCATGGATGTGGACGGGTAAATGACAGCAGGAGCGTTATCGTTCCGGTCCAGAATAAACACATGAACAGTGGCGTTACTGCTCAGAGATGGAGAGCCATGATCTTTAGCCTGAACTACGATACTTATTAGTTTAATTTTCTCATAATCAAATGAGCTCATGCTGTAAATAGTTCCGTTCTCAGAATTTATATAAAAATAAGATAATGCTGGAACTTGACTTGAACTTAAATCCAAAATCGAGTAAGCAAGTATAGCGTTTTTATTTTGATCAATATCAAACGCAGATACAGAAAACAATGAAACACCTGCCAGATTATTTTCTTTTATGTAAACATCATATGAGGATTGTGAAAATACTGGAGGGTTGTCATTTACATCAAGCACTTTTACATTTACAGTCTTAACAGTTTTTAAGGGTAGAACACCAGAGTCTACTGCTTGTATTTCTACATTATATTCAGAATGAAACTCACGATCTAAGAAAGAATCCGTTATTAGAGAATAATAGCTATCAAAAGCTGGCTTTAACTTAAATGGAACATCCGCAGAGACTATTAGCTCAACTTTGCCATTATTACCGGAGTCCAAATCTTTGACGGTAATCAGAGCCACCACAGTTCCCACCGTTGCATTTTCAGGTACAGGGCTCGGTAAAGATGTCAGTATAATCTCTGGAGGGTTGTCATTCTCATCTATGATATCAATCTGAACCGATGACTGTCCCTCGAGCTCTGGATTCCCTTTGTCTTTAGCACAGACATCAAATGTATATGATTTGGTAGTCTCGTAATCTAGATTTCCAGCTACTGTTATTTCGCCGTTTTCAGCGTTTACACTAAAAATATTTCTAATAAATTCAGGCGTGTGCGCAGAGAATGAATACTGTATCTCACCATTAGGACCTTCATCCAAATCTGTTGCTTTTATTTTGATCACACTTGAACCAACAACGGCGCTTTCTAGAACAGATGCTTTATATGCAGACACTTCAAATGTCGGTTCGTTGTCATTAAAATCTTGAACAATTATTTGCAGTAAAGATGTACCAGATTTTACCGGATTACCGCCATCCAGAGCTGTTAATATTAGCTTGTGAACAGACTGTTTCTCTCTATCTAGTGATTTATCAAGCACTAGCTCTGGTATTTGTCTTCCGTTTTTAAGTGTCTTTAAGTTTAAACGGAAGAAGTTGTTATTGCTCAGAGAATAAGTCTTTAGGCTATTGCTGCCAACATCGAGGTCCTCGGCACTTTCAAGGGTAAATCGAGCGCCTGGAGCAGTCAGTTCAGAAATGTTTAATTCGCCATTTCTGTTGTGAAAATTTGGTGCATTATCATTTATATCTTGTATTTCTATTTCAACTTTATGTATCTGCAATGGATTCTCAATAACGACCTGCAGAGGCATCAGACAACTGGCGCTTTGTCCACAGAGCGTTTCTCTGTCAATTCTGCCATTTACTACCAGATCACCCTTCCCTGAATCCACATTGAAAAACTGTCTATTTGATTCAGATGCTATCCGCAACTTACGATCGGCGATATCTGAGATGTCAAAACCAAGATCATTCGCGATATTCCCAACGATAGATCCTTCCTTTAACTCTTCAGGTATTGTGTAGCGAATCTGAGCTCCAACTGTATTCCACAATAGAGAGAAAGCGAACAGCCAAAGCGCTGCCCATTTCCACCCTCTGATCCTCCTGTGCCTCATTTCTCTGTTGCGCTTGATATTCCCATCAACAAATCTTGATCTTATATCCATAGAAAAACAGAATGCTGTTCTCCATTTTCAAACAATTACGTTTATTCAACGCATCCTCGTTGTGGTGATCAGCCTCATAAAGCGCTCATGTTTCCTCTCGCTCTACAGCTCATCATTGTACTCCTCTGGTTGGGGGAGGGAGTAGATCCCTTTGTACTGTCTAAAGCACGATTGGTACAGAGCTCAACCCTCACTCATCCAATAGATGCTCTGCTGTTTCTTAAAGGCATAACCAGCCCCCTGTGTTGCCACGGCATCTAGTGGATAACTGTGCGCTAAAAATGCAATGCAGATTATCAGAATTATTTCGTAGCTAGAAGGGCAAATGTTGTTACATGCAAAAATAAATAATTAAATAAATAAATAATAATATTAATATAATAATAATAATAATAATAAAAAACTTTAAAAATCGTTAAAGTGACAAGATGAGCAGATGAGGATAACAGAGAAGAGCAATTAATTTTTTCTTAAACTAAAGTGTTACATAATTATTACAGCAAATTCTATTTTTTTATTTTCTTGTTTGTTTGTAATAAATTATCAACTATGTCTTCCAAACATGAAGTAGCATCTAAAACTGCGCAGCATCATATTGTTACGGGAGCTATCCAGGGAAAAGTGCTGAACACACAATTCAAAACCTTCGCCATTATCTCCGAGAGTTTGTTTTGATATCATTATGAACCGTCACTGGGAGGCCATACACAACATTCTTACAATGACGGGCATCAGCTCTCGATCCCCAAAAAGAGAAATGCGTCGGGCATTAATATATCAAGATTACGCATTTAACCTGTACCATTATGAGACATGCACGCATATCGTTTTAAAATGCGATTTAATTTTTCCAGACTGCCACGTTTTAAGAAACTTATTAATGTCTTGATATTTAAAAAAAAAAAAAAAAAATTCTCCACGTTTTCTCTTGGTACCACAAAAAATATCCTTTTTTAAAAAATACTAGCTTACTGGACTCTCTCCAAAATGGATTTGCTCACTTAAACCAACGATATTTGTGCCCACCCCCCACCCACACACCTGGTGCGTTTTCATGGGGACTTTTCATGGACATGAAAAAAAAAACATCAATTAAGAGTTATAAGTTGTTTTCCTCATGGGGCACAAAAAAATGTCCCCACAAGTACAAGGATTTCGGATATTGCCATCTTTGTGGTAACATTTTGCCCCCATAATAGGGTTCACAAGACCGCCAACATACACAATCAAGCATGAGCTGTATTTATGCACTGTTTATAAGAATAAAATAATCACATAAAATATATATTTATGCTGACGTAATTAATAATTCTGCGTCTCACCTGTTGGCTCTCGAACGTCCACGCGCTGTCTGGTAATGACGCATCAAGCACGTTTAGCGTGTCTGTAAAGTTTGTGGTGCTGCTGGGCTTAACGAGGGTAAGATCACTGAATTCTGACATTGGAGAGAGATAGGATCCAAAGGACTGACTCTGAGACATCATGTCTCCTCCCAGAACCTCCACATACTTAATGGGCCCGTCAGTGTTGAGCTGGATCTGCAGGTTTCTGTTGGGGTTCTTGTATCCAGAATCAGTTCGCCTGATACAGCAGCTTGAGCCGCCTCTACTGCCTCGTGCACATTTCACCAGTAAGATGAAGAACGTCATCAGACACAACAAGGACACAGAAGCCAAAGAGATAATCAGATATAAAGTAATTTTACCGCTTTTCTTGTTGGGCTCGATAGTTTTGTCTCTATAGTCTGAGATGGGCTCATGAAACCCGTCCTCTATCAGTATATCCACTGTGACTGTGGTGGACTGGATCGGTTCTCCATTATCCTTTATCTCTATCATCAGTCTCTGAGAGGGGTCATCCTGCTCTGAAACAGCGCGTTTAGTCCTCACCTCTCCCGTGTGTAAATTCACACTGAACAGTGACGCGTCCGTGGCCTCCGCGAGCCTGTAGAAGAGCCAAGCGTTATGACCCGAGTCCGCGTCCACTGCTGTTACCTTAGTGACGAGATGTCCTGCTTTAGCAGAACGGGGCATCCTCTGATTAGGGACAGACCCCATGGATGTGGATGGGTAAATGACAGCAGGAGCGTTATCGTTCCGGTCCAGAATAAACACATGAACAGTGGCGTTACTGCTCAGCGATGGAGAGCCATGATCTTTAGCCTGAACTACGATACTTATTAGTTTAATTTTCTCATAATCAAATGAGCTCATGGTGTAAATAGTACCGTTCTCAGAGTTGAGATAAAAATAAGATGATGCTGGAACGTGATTAGAACTTAAATCCAAAATCGAGTAAGTGAGTAGAGCGTTTTTATTCTGGTCAATATCAGATGCAGACACATAAAACAATGAAGTGCCTGCAAGATTGTTTTCTTTAATGTAAACGTTATACGAGGTCTGTGAGAATACTGGAGGGTTGTCATTTACATCAAGAACTTTAATATATATAGTCTTCACAGTTTTTAATGGTGGGACACCAGAGTCTATGGCCAGTATTTCTACACTATATTCTGAATGAACTTCGCGGTCAAGAAATGAGTCAGTTATCAAAGAATAATAATTATGGGACGGTTTTAATTTAAACGGAACATCCGGGGAGACAATTAGCTCGACTTTACCATTATTACCGGAGTCCAAATCTTTGACGGTAATCAGAGCCACCACAGTTCCCACCGTTGCATTTTCAGGTACAGGGCTCGGTAAAGATGTCAGAATAATCTCTGGGGGGTTGTCGTTCTCATCTATGATATCTATCTGAACCGATGACTGTCCCTCGAGCTCTGGATTCCCTTTGTCTTTAGCACATACATCAAATGTATATGATTTGGTAGTCTCGTAATCTAATTTTTCAGTTACTGTTATTTCGCCGGTTTCAGCGTTCACAGTAAACGCATTTCTTACAAGTTCAGGCGTGTGCGCAGAGAATGAATATTGTATCTCACCATTAGGACCTTCATCCAAATCTGTTGCTTTTATTTTGATCACATTTGAACCAACAACGGCGCTTTCTACAACAGATGCTTTATATGCAGAAACTTCAAATGTCGGTTCGTTATCATTAAAATCTTGAACAATTATTTGCAGTAAAGATGTACCAGATTTTACCGGATTACCGCCATCCAGAGCTGTTAATATTAGCTTGTGAACAGATTGTTTCTCTCTATCTAATGATTTATCAAGCACTAGCTCTGGTATTTGTCTTCCGTTTTTAAGTGTCTTTAAGTTTAAACGGAAGAAGTTGTTATTGCTCAGAGAATAAGTCTTTAGGCTATTGCTGCCAACATCGAGGTCCTCGGCAATTTCAAGGGGAAATCGAGTGCCTGGAGCAGTCAGTTCAGATATGTATAATTCGCCATTTTTATTGTGAAAGTTTGGTGCATTGTCGTTAATGTCTTGTATTTCTATCTCTACGTTATGCATCTGTAATGGATTCTCAATAACGACCTGCAGTGGCATCAGACAACTGGCGCTTTGTCCACAAAGCGTTTCTCTGTCTATTCTGCCATTTACTACCAGATCACCCTTCCCTGAATCCACATTGAAATACTGTCTATTTGATTCAGATGCTATCCGCAACTTACGATCGGCGATATCTGAGATGTCAAAACCAAGATCCTTCGCGATATTCCCAACGATAGATCCTTCCTTTAACTCTTCAGGTATTGTGTAGCGAATCTGAGCTCCAACTGTATTCCACAATAGAGAGAAAGCGAACAGCCAAAGCGCTGCCAATTTCCACCCTCTGATCCTCCTGTGCCTCATTTCTCTGTTGCGCTTGATATTCCCATCAACAAATCTTGATCTTATATCCATAAAAAAACAGAATGCTGTTCTCCATTTTCAAACAATTACGTTTATTCAACGCATCCTCGTTGTGGTGATCAGCCTCATAAAGCGCTCATGTTTCCTCTCGCTCTACAGCTCATCATTGTACTCCTCTGGTTGGGGGAGGGAGTAGATCCCTTTGTACTGTCTAAAGCACGATTGGTACAGAGCTCAACGCTCACTCATCCAATAAATGCTCTGCGGTTTCTTAAAGGCATAACCAGCCCTCTGTGATGCTGCGGCATCTAGTGGAGAGTTGTGCTAGAAAATATCCAATGCAGCTTATCTCAGAGTTATTTCGTAGGTAGATGAGCAAATGTTATTGTACGCAAAACATCATGAAAGTGGGTGCACTGCACATTTGAGCATAACAGCTAGGGAAGAGCTAGAGTAATTTAGCTGTTCTTTAAAATTGTGGTGAATAATTGAGACATTTTATTTGTTCATTTATGTTTTTGTTTTTTTTTTATTTTTTATTATTATAATAATTTTGTAAATAAATGATGCAACAATGTCTTCCAAACCAGCATAAATTACCACCTAAAACTGCCATGTCGTTATGGGAGCTGTCCAGTCCAAAGTGCTGAACACACAGTAAAATAAAAAATAAAAAAAATACATAAACAATAAAAAAAAACTTCGACATTATCTCAGTTTCATATATATATATATATATATATATATATATATATATATATATATATATATATATATATATATATATCATAATACTGATCCTCATCTCTGTCATGGTTATGCTCAAATAAACCAAGTAGCTTTGAGCCAAGTAGCTTTTTGTTGTGGTTTTATGGGTCCATTAACCTACCCATCATCACAGAAAACGTTCTGCATTTTATATTTCAAATAAACACAATCGTTGTCCTCATAGGGACCAAAGACACAACGGATATCGGATATTGCCATCTTTGTGGGGACATTTTGTCCCCATAATGTTGTTTACAAGGCCACAAACGCACACACATCCGCTCGCACACCATATGTAGGCCTATATCTTAAAAATGTCTTTTTGCACTGTTTAAAATAACAAAAACACATAAAAATATATATCGATGCTGAGGTAATTAATAATTCTGCGTCTCACCTGTTGACTCTCGAATGTCCATGCGCTGTCTGGTAATGACGCATCAAGCACGTTTAGCGTGTCTGTAAAGTTTGTGGTGCTGCTGGGCTTAACGAGAGTTAGATCACTGAATTCTGACATTGGAGAGAGATAGGAACCAAAAGACTGACTCTGAGACATCATGTCTCCTCCCAGAACCTCCACATACTTAATTGGCCCGTCAGTGTTGAGCTGGATCTGCAGGTTTCTGTTGGGGTTCTTGTATCCAGAATCAGTTCGCCTGATACAGCAGCTTGAGCCACCTCTACTGCCTCGCGCACATTTCACCAGTAAGATGAAGAACGTCATCAGACACAACAAGGACACAGCGGCTAAAGAGATGATCAGGTATAAAGTAATTTTACCGCTTTTCTTGTTGGGCTCGATAGTTTTCTCTCTATAGTCTGAGATGGGCTCATGAAACCCGTCCTCTATCAGTATATCCACTGTGACTGTGGTGGACTGGATCGGTTCTCCATTATCCTTTATCTCTATCATCAGTCTCTGAGAGGGGTCATCCTGCTCTGAAACAGCGCGTTTAGTCCTCACTTCTCCCGTATGTAAATTCACACTGAACAGTGACGCGTCCGTGGCCTCCGCGAGCCTGTAGAAGAGCCAGGCGTTATGACCCGAGTCCGCGTCCACTGCTGTTACTTTAGTGACGAGATGTCCTGCTTTAGCAGAACGGGGCATCCTCTGATTAGGGACAGACCCCATGGATGTGGATGGGTAAATGACAGCAGGAGCGTTATCGTTATGGTCCAGAATAAACACATGAACAGTGACGTTACTGCTCAGAGATGGAGAGCCATGATCTTTAGCTTGAACTAGAACACTGAACAATTTTGTTTTCTCATAATCAAATGAGCTCATGCTGTAAATAGTTCCGTTCTCAGAGTTGATATAAAAATAAGATGATGCTGGAACGTGATTTGAGCTTAAATCTAGAATTGAGTAACTCAGTATTGCGTTCTTATCTTGGTCAATATCAGACGCAGATACTGAAAACAATGAAGCACCTGGTGGGCTATTTTCCTTTATATACACTGTGTACGAGGTCTGTGAGAATACGGGAGGGTTGTCATTCACATCAAGTATTTTTACATTTAAAGTTTTCCTAGATTTTAAAGATGGTACACCAGAATCTTTTGCTTCTAATTCTATGTCATATTCTGCATTAGCTTCGCGGTCCAAGAGTGAGTCAGTTACCAAAGAGTAGTGATTGTCAAATGCTGGTTTTAGTTTAAAAGGAAAACGAGAGGAGATGGTAAGATTTACTTTTCCGTTATTACCAGAATCTAAGTCTTTTACGTTGATTAAAGCTACAACTGTACCGACTGATGCATTCTCTGACACTGGGCTAGGTAACGATGTCAAAATGATTTCGGGAATATTGTCATTCTCATCAATGATGTCCAGCCTCACTGAAGAATGGCCCTCCTGTTCTGGGCTCCCTTTGTCTTTAGCGCAGACATCAAACGTGTATAATTTTGTCAACTCGTAATCTAGTTTTCCAATCACTGTAATATCTCCGGTTTCAACATTGATACTGAAAATATTTCTCACGTGATCTGGTGTATGTGCACCGAAAAAATACTGTATTTCGCCGTTAAGGCCCTCATCTAAGTCAGTGGCTTTTACAGTTAAGACGCTTGAACCAAGTGTCGTACTCTCCTGCACAGATGCTTTATATTGCGATTGTTCAAATTTTGGCTCATTGTCATTAATATCTTGAACGATTACTTGTATCATAATAGTTCCAGATTTGACAGGATCGCCACCGTCTAAAGCTGTTAAAATGAGCTTATGCACAGACTGTTTCTCTCGGTCAAGTGGTTTATCAATTATTAACTCTGGTACTTTCTTACCATCTTCCAGTGTTTTCACATTTAAACGAAAGAAAGCGTTATTACTCAAAGTATACGATTTGAGACTATTGCTACCGACATCTAAATCCTCGGCACTTTCAAATGGAAATTTTGCGCCCACAGCTACCGATTCCCATATTTTCAAAACATTTTCTTTTGTATGAAAATTCGGTGAATTGTCATTTATATCTTGTATCTCTATATTCACACGATATAACTGCAATGGATTTTCTATAACCAGTTGTAACGGCATCAGACAACTGGCGCTTTGTCCACAGAGCGCCTCTCGGTCTATTCTACCATTGACTATCAGCTCACCATTCCTTGTATCCACACTAAAATATTGCGTACTAGAATCAGAGGCTATCCGTAACTTACGATTAGCGATGTCTGAAATGTCCAGACCAATGTCCTTTGCAATGTTTCCAACAACAGACCCTTCTTTTAGTTCCTCCGGTATAGTATAGCGAATTTGAGCTCCAATTGTATTCCACAACAGAGGGAAAACAAACAGCCAACGCGCTGCCTGTTTCCACACTCGGATGCTTCTCATTTCCACGATGCTTTGAATCTTTCCATCAATGAGTGCTTCGCATATATCCAGAAAAACACGTCGATTTCCTTCTTTTATTAAGATCGCAAATCCATTTCGATCGAGGGGTCGGTTTTGTAGTGATCAGCGTCATAACCGCGAGTGCATTCTCCTTCAGCTCATATCACTCATTGTAGCCCTTTCCTGCTAAGGGAGGGAGTAGATCCCTTTGTGTAGTCTCGCATCTTATTGGCACTGAGCTCAATGCGCTGCTGTCCAATAGAGGACAGAGTCTTTCTTAAAGGGGAACATGCTCATTTCCCCCTAGAACTGAATTGTTACAAAATGGGGGGAAAAAACAACAACAACTAAAAGGTGTAGGCTACTTGCATTTATACGACTGGACAAAATATTGTCTTTACATGTAAAATAGTATCAAATGGAATTTTGATGGTATGTTTACACAAGAAGCAAATTTTAACTCTTTTTATATGGAAAGTGTCTTCTTGCATACAACCACAAAATGATGCTGCGAAAAAAAGAAGACATTGAACAAAAAGTAATAAAACTAAATTCAATCGAGTGATATCTCCAAATTAACTAGCTGAAGTCATATTAACAACCAGTTAAAATGTATTCTATTTGGGGAAACTAGGAAACTATCAACGTTATGAGCGTGTCGCTGTCCACAGCTGCGGTTCTGAAATGTGCTCAATGAATTGTTCTCAGCACCCTTTAACCCACACAAAGCATACGCACTTAAAATACACAGGCTGTTTTTACACACACAACACACCCCCCCCCCCCCCCCCCCCCCACACACACACACACATATATATATATATATATAAAATGAATGATCTCGCAAAACACACAATGCGATTTTAGAGACATATTTGTTTTTAGATATGACAGCTCTGAATGTAGCAAAAGTTTTATTTTGTCTCACCTGTTGGCTCTCGAACGTCCACGCGCTGTCTGGTAATGACGCATCAAGCACGTTTAGCGTGTCTGTAAAGTTTGTGGTGCTGCTGGGCTTAACGAGGGTGAGATCACTGAATTCTGACATTGGAGAGAGATAGGAGCCAAAGGACTGACTCTGAGACATCATGTCTCCTCCCAGAACCTCCACATACTTAATGGGCCCGTCAGTGTTGAGCTGGATCTGCAAGTTTCTGTTGGGGTTCTTGTATCCAGAATCAGTCCGCCTGATACAGCAGCTTGAACTTCCGATGCTACTTCTAACGCACTTCACAATCAACGTGAACAATGTCAACACAGATAAAATTGACACGGTGCCTAAAGAGATGATCAAATATAAAGTAATTTTACCGCTTTTCTTGTTGGGCTCGACAGTTTTTTCACGAAAGTCTGAGATGGGTTCATGAACCCCGTCCTCTATCAGTATATCCACTGTGACTGTGGTGGACTGGATCGGCTCTCCATTATCCTTTATCTCTATCATCAGTCTCTGAGAGGGGTCATCCTGCTCTGAAACAGCGCGTTTAGTCCTCACTTCTCCCGTGTGTAAATTCACACTGAACAGTGACGCGTCCGTGGCCTCCGCGAGCCTGTAGAAGAGCCAGGCGTTATGACCCGAGTCTGCGTCCACTGCTGTTACCTTAGTGACGAGATGTCCTGCTTTAGCAGAACGGGGCATCCTCTGATGAGGGACAGACCCCATGGATGTGGACGGGTAAATGACCGCAGGAGCGTTATCGTTCCGGTCCAGAATAAACACATGGACAGTGGCGTTACTGCTCAGAGATGGAGAGCCATGATCTTTGGCAAGCACCATCATATGAAAGACCTTGATTTTCTCATAGTCAAAAGAGTGCATGCTAAAAATACTACCGTTTTCTGAGTTTATGTATACATATGAAGAGACAGGTACGTCTCGAGCATTATTGTCGAGAACTGAATAGACAATTTGGGCATTTTCTCCCGTATCCAGATCTGATGCTGTCACTGATGCTAAAATTGATCCCGGGGCACTGTTTTCTTTAATATAAACCGAGTACACGCGTTCAGAGAAAACAGGAGGATTATCATTGACATCTAATATATTTACTGTAATGAGTTTGTTAGATATCAGTGGAGGTGATCCAGAGTCTGACGCTTTAAGCTCAATATCATATCTAGGAAAATTTTCCCGATCTAACTGTGAATCTGTCACTAGTGCGTAATGGTTCGAAAATGTTGGCTTTAATTTAAAAGGGTTGCCTGGTGACATGCGAAGTGTTACGTTTCCGTTTACGCCTGAATCCAAATCTTTAACATTTATCAATGCTACCATAGTCCCAACGGGCGCATCTTCTCGAACAGGTTTAGGTGAGGAGGTGATTGTGATCTCAGGTGCATTATCATTCACATCTAAAACATTCACCTGGACTGAACAAAGCCCCTCCATTGCAAGTGGCCCTTTGTCTCTGGCCCGAATGTCAATTTTATATGAGGTGCTGATTTCATAATCAAGATTCCTGGAAACGACTAATTCGCCTGTCACAGGATTAATAGCGAACACATTTTGAATTATTTCAGGTGTATGCGCCGCAAACGAATACTCAACCTCGCCGTTTATACCATCGTCCAAGTCAATAGCTTTTACTGTAAGTATCATTGTACCCGGGACTGTGCTCTCCGTTACTTTAACTTCATATAAGTCGTGTTCAAATATTGGAGCATTATCATTTGCATCAAGAATTTTTACAGTAATCTGTGTGGTCCCTGACCTCACTGGATCACCTCCATCAATACCTGTCAAAATGAGATGGTGCACAGCATTTTTCTCTCTATCTACAGATCTCTCTAAAACTATTTCTGGGACTTTTGTTCCGTCTTTTTCGTTTTTTATGTGCATAACAAAATGTTCATTTTTATTAAGCGCATATGTGCGCAAGGAGTTCGTTCCAACGTCAGGATCTTGAGCAGGTTCCAGTCGAAACCTCGCTCCAGTTAGCGTTGACTCTGGTACCTCAATTGTGTTTATTTCCGACAAGAATATTGGAGAGTTGTCGTTAATATCTTGAATGTCCACTTCGACTCGATAAAACTGAAGAGGATCCTCGATTATGACTTGTAATGGTAACACACAGCTCGCGCTTTGTCCGCACAGGGTTTCTCTGTCTATTACTTCATTAACAAGCAGCTCGCCGTTCCGCAAATTCAGACTGAAATATTGCTTACCAGACTCAGATGTTATCCGTAATTTACGATTAGATATTTCAGATACATCCAAACCGAGATCTTTAGCTACATTTCCAACAATGGATCCCTCCTTCAGCTCCTCCGGTATTGTATAACGAAGCTGTGCGTCTGTCTCGCTCCACAAAACAGCGAAACACAACAGCCACAGCGCCCGCCAGAACAAAATTCTCCTTTGTATTTGAGTCCTCATTTCCAAACACGATAAATTATCGTTGAAACCAGTATCCTGACATACATCTTACGCGTGCAAGCCGTCAAAAAATATAATGTGACATTTTAAAATGTATAGAACTCCAAGCTATATTCCGTTGTGAAATTCATTGCAGCGAGTGCAGTGCATTTTGTCTCAGGTCTGTGCGTAATGGTTTTCAGCATTATGTCAGAGGGAGGGAGTAGATCCCTTTGTGCAGTGCGGTCCCACTATTGGACGAGGGCTCACCAGTCACAACACAAATCCCTCTTAAAGAGGCAGAGCAAAGCCACACGCAACACCCATACAGATGATATCCAGGTTTTGTTTAGCTCACTTTACGTGGAAACGACGACTGTCTGCAATGACTTGGTTTAGCAATTACAGATAATTAGAATATTTAGAAATAAACTGCAAAACATAAATCTGTATTTAAAAAAAAGAAAAAATAGCATTTACTTGTAGGCTAATTAGATTTAGGTTTAGCAGGCAGAATGATGATACATATTTAATTTTTAATAGCACAAATTGTAAAATTATTTGCCCCACTATGGGTAAGATGCCCTCTTAGGGTCAATTGAGACGTCTGTGAAAATTTAAAACATTTAGAAAGCATATTAATGTACCTGCAATTCCCTGATTTACAAACACCAAACTGATATTTAACATAAATGATCACTATTTTCCAGAGACACAAAATTAGTTCAATTGACCTCAAAACCTGGCCTGTTTTTAAAATCTCACAAATGTGGATATATCCGATGAAATGACAAAAGGAGTGTTGCCATGTATTGAACGTGTTGATATGAGATGTTGTACATCTATGGCCAAGAGTAAAAAAATAAAGTGTATGCGTGGGTCATCTTGCCCAACTATAGATGCTGCAGAAAACGTCGGTGCTCAAACATGCAACACACGTACGCAAAAGTATGAGAGCAGAGATCAGTTCAAACACTGTATTTTTATCGGCGCTAAAACTACACAGCTCCAGGAATCCAGTTTTGATGCAAAACTGTGTTACGTTGTGATTATAAAAGTGGTTATAATAGTGTTTTCACATAATGAAATCTATAACGCCATATAATATAAATATTTATTAATAAAACATAATATTCAAAATATAATATAAACAATTTAACGCGCTCACCTGTTGACTCTCGAACGTCCACGCGCTGTCTGGTAATGACGCATCAAGCACGTTTAGCGTGTCTGTAAAGTTTGTGGTGCTGCTGGGCTTAACGAGGGTGAGATCACTGAATTCTGACATTGGAGAGAGATAGGAGCCAAAGGACTGACTCTGAGACATCATGTCTCCTCCCAGAACCTCCACATACTTAATGGGCCCGTCAGTGTTGAGCTGGATCTGCAGGTTTCTGTTGGGGTTCTTGTATCCAGATTCAGTTCGCCTGATACAGCAGCTTGAGCCACCTCTACTGCCTCGAGCACATTTCACCAGTAAGATGAAAAACGTCATCAGACACAACAAGGACACGGAAGCCAAAGAGATAATCAGATATAAAGCAATTTTACCGCTTTTCTTGTTGGGCTCGATAGTTTTCTCTCTATAGTCTGAGATGGGTTCATGAAACCCGTCCTCTATCAGTATATCCACTGTGACTGTGGTGGACTGAATCGGTTCTCCATTATCCTTTATCTCTATCATCAGTCTCTGAGAGGGGTCATCCTGCTCTGAAACAGCGCGTTTAGTCCTCACCTCTCCCGTGTGTAAATTCACACTGAACAGTGACGCGTCCGTGGCCTCCGCGAGCCTGTAGAAGAGCCAGGCGTTATGACCCGAGTCCGCGTCCACTGCTGTTACTTTAGTGACGAGATGTCCTGC